GCACGCCTCACTCAACGGCCATCTTAGCGATGGCAATGCCGGTCCCGATTCTGGTCGTAGGTCGAGGACTCCCTGTAAAATGACCGACTGGGCTGAGAAATGGCTGGCCAAACATCCGTTTTGACCGGGGCTGAAAAGTTCTGACCTCAGTTGGGTATTTATTCCGGCTGAACAGGAGACAGGAAATCTGGTGTGTGTGTGTGTGTTTTCAGACTTAAGTGGACGAGCAAATTTGTTAGAAGGTGTTGCCTTCACGAAGGGACGAAGTGGGATCTGATCTCTGGTTAAAAACAACACGATTGGAAGGGACCTTGGAGGTCTTCTAGTCCAGCCCCCCCCCCTGCTGCTCGAGCAGGAAATGTGAAGCGGGTACCCACTGTGGGACGATACGCTAAAAGTTTAGATAAAGTGTGACCAGATCCCACGCGTTCACGAGGAAGACGTGGGTTTTATTTTGGGGGATCTGCGTATTCCGAAGACTAGGCCTCTTTCTGTTTTCGTGATAGTCCGTAAAGTGGGTGAATTCACTTTATTTCACTCTGCTGGTACCCCTGTTTTTTTTTAAATTTAATTTTAGGCTTCAGTGCATTTGGGGTGAATGGAATAGTTTGATCAAGGCCCTTTTTAGGTGTGGATTGAGGACGGGCCAATAATCTCATTTCTGACAGCGTGGGAAAGCCGTAAGGCACTCGAAGAGAAGTGGGACTTTCAGCTCACAGAATTCCCCAGCCAGCAGGAGAATTCTGGGGAGCTGATGTCCACTTCTCTTCAAGGGACCAAACGGGAGAGAGAGAAAAAAAACATCCTTAAAAACCCCAAATTCTACCAGCTGCTTTGCAAAATGTCAAGCTTTCAACCCTGCTCGGGGAGGAGTCCCCGTTTTAATTCCGGCGATCCTCCACGTTGAGAGGCAGTCTACCTTGGAAACGCCCCATGTTAAAAGGGCAGAGAACTGGCCCACGCCTGCATTCCTGGTGGTTTTCCTGGCTGCACATCTGCTTGCCAGCTGTTGCCTTTGGGAAAGGCTGCAAACGGATAGGAAAGTGTTTTTTTTTTTTAATTTTTCCCACTCTATGGGGTGTCTTCCAACATCTGGCAGAACTACAGATGGGGGAATCCCTTGTTCCATAGCCTCTCCGAAGCCCCAAATTGTCCTGTAGGAAGGTGGGGGGGAAAGGCAGGCAGGGGTCTGGCTTCCCCCCCCCCAACAGCCCTTATGCAATCCCACAATTGGAGGGAACAGTCCCCCCCCCCCCAAGAAGACTGGCATTTGTGCAACCTCTGGGTGTTTTTCCAGTCTGCTCCCTCCTTGCCGTCCAGCCTCGCTGGTGCCAGCTGGGTGAGCCACTGGCATTTCGCCCCCACGCCCAGCCTGGTTTTAGCTGACCTTAAACTTAGTTTTATAAGTTGATTTTTTTTTGACTCGGGTTTGAATGCTGGTCAGTGGTGGAGGGAGGGGGGGGGGCTGGTGCAAGAAGAGAGGAGACCCTGAGGGCCCCCCCCCAATCCGAGCTGAGAAGTTTGTGGCATTTCCAAGGAGGGGAGGATTAGATTTCAGAGCTCTTGGAGGCTAGAGGTGAGGCTGCCCCGTCTCCAAATGGCGTTTCGTGCCCGCAGATGTGTGGGGACTTCAATTCCCAGGGTGCCTTGCTGGCGCTTCTCCCACCCCTGGCAGAAAATGTTCCCTTCTCTTGCAAGGGCCCTGGGGGGGCTGCAGTGCGAAAGAGGAGGAGGAGGAGGAAATGGGATCTTGGCAGGAAGGGAAAGTTTTCTTAAGCCTTTCTCGGGACGTCAGGCGCAGGGCCACTTTGCCGTGGTAAATGACACATTTTGCAGCAAAATCCTCAAGGAATTATGCCATTCCTCAGGAGAAGCTCGGCGGGATTCAAATGCCCTTACTTTTTATTTATTGGCTTGTAAAAATTTATTTGCCGCCCATCTCGTATCCGGTGGTCTTTGGAGCTTACAGCAATTCAGTGCTGTGTGATTTACTCCCCTGTAAGCCCATAAGGCAGTGATTCCCAAACTTGGCAACTTTAAGACGTGTGGACTNCCCAACACTGGAAGTCTTTAAGAAGATGCTGGATAGCCATTTGCCTGAAACAGTATAGGGGTTTCCGGACTAGGCAGGGGGTTGGACTAGAAGACCTCCAAGGTCCCTCCCAACTCTGCTATTGTATTGTATTATTCTTCCAAATAATTCAAGGTGGTGAACCTATCCAACACACTTTCCTTCCTCTTCCTGTTTTTCCCACAACAACAACCTTGTGAGGCGGGTTGAGCTAAGAGGGAAAGGGGGCTGGCCCAAAGTCACCCAGCCGGCTTTGAGGCCTAAGGTGGGACTAGAACTCACTGTCTCCTGGGGATTCGCCCATGGTCACCCAGCCAGCTTTCATTACCTAAGGCAAAACTAGAACTCGCCACCTCCTGGGGATTGGCCCAAGGTTCCCCTGCTGACTTTCATGCCTAAGGCAGGACTAGAACTCACGGCCTCCCTTTCCCTAGGCTGGTTCCTTAACCACGGGACCAAATGGCCTCTCGATATCAAATATCCTGCAAAAAAATGTGGAATTCCAGAACCCATAATCCTCCAAACATTTCTTAAGGTCTGACTTGTTTGCAGAAAGAAAGAGGAGGGGAGTTAAAATTTGTCATGCTTGATAAAGCATCTCACCCCACCCCACCACCGCCTCTAAAATGGTTTGGATTCCGCAGACAGAATAACAAGAGTTGGAAGGGACCTTGGAGGTCTTCTAGTCCAGCCCACTGCTCAAGCAGGAGACCCTAGACCAGGAGTGTCCAAACTTGGGAACTTTTAAGACTTTTGTGGACTTCAACTCCCAGAATTCCCCAGCCAGCCGTGGGAACTTTAAGACCTGGGAACTTTAAGACTTGTGGACTTCAACTCCCAGAATTCCCCAGCCAGCACAGCAGGGATATCAAAAGCTCAGTGCATTCAGGGCTGGTTTCATTCATTTTCATAATAGGGATATGGGGGGGGGGGGAGCAAATAAGCACGGCTGGCTGGGGAATTCTGGGAGTTGAAGTCCACAAAAGTCTTAGAAGTCCCCAAGTTTGGATACCCTTGGTCTAAACCACCTCTGGTTTTTAAGCCAAGATGCCCCACTGAACCTCCCCCAGTTTAGTTGGAAACAATGGTTTATAGCAGTGTTTCTCAACCTTGGCAACTTGAAGATGCCTGGACTTCAACTCCCAGAATTCCCCAGCAGTGGTTAGGACAGTGTTTCTCAACCTTGGCAACATGCAGAATGTTTGACATCTACTCCCATAAGTTTAC